AACTGCTCCTCACAGGAGCTACTATACACTGAGTGTAAAAGATTGCTTCCTACAGTCTAAATCTTTGGAAGAAAAAAATTACTTCAGAAAACTGCTGCTTAGTGACCTAGTTTCTCAAATATCACTGGCTAAGAGGTTCTTACTTAAAAGTATGATATGTTGTTCATGCAACATTTATGATGCCTACATTAAGAAGTTTTGCCCCTAAAAATAACATGTAATACTATAGCCCTTCCCATTTTCACAACAGCATAGGAACCTCTGCAGCTCTTCAGCAGATTCAGAAGCCCCAGCTAGGTGGGTAGTGTTCAAATCAAAGCTCCTTTCAATGTGAGTGTTCCTCCAACTGGTCAATATTAGCATGGAAAGGGCTGTGTTCAAAAAGTGTTTCCAATCATACCAAAGCAAAGGAGAAAGAAAACATTCAGGAGTGGCTCTTGTACTGTCATGTTGGTGTTAGAAAGAACCCAGCCATTAAAATAGATGTTTATAGACATATCAGTGGACATTCACCTAGATGATCAAACTTCTATGGCTAATATTCTGTTCCAAAGCTCTCCTGATGCAATAAAAATAGAATTGTTGGCAGAAGTAGATTTCCGCTAACAAAAAATTCCTACAGGACTTCGATTTCACATTTTGTACAACTTCTGCATAATAAAACAATGTTGCAAGCAATCTGAAATCAATACAGTAAATCTAATTAGCAACAATCAAAGCTGCTACTATTGATGTCACTTTCCTTAGGCAGGTAGAGCTACAGAACAGGTTTATGACTAGTGTTTTAGAAATACTACTGTGTTTTCCTAAAAATAATTATATTAATTTGTATTAATTATATTAATTTTTGCTCCAAAAACACATTAGGGCTTTCAATATATTCGCGAAGGCTTTCACGGCCGGGATCTAATGGTTGTTCTGGGTTTTTCGGGCTCTTTGGCCATGTTCTGAAGGTTGTTCTTCCTGACGTTTCGTTTCGCTAGTCTCTGTGGCCGGCATCTTCAGAGGACAGCAACCTGTGCTCTGGTGTAGTTGGCTTGGGAGTGCAGTATTTATGGCTGTGAGATAGGCTTTTGTCTTTTCCTGTAGATGGGTGATTAGTGTGTATTGTTGTGGGTGTATTGTTGTGCTAGGGGAAGAGATTATCTGTTCCTGCAGTTGATGGGTGTCATTAGCTGGTCTTTTGTGTGTAGTGATCCCCTGTCCTTGTGGGTGGGTAGAATCTGTTGACCTTTTGCACGTAGTATGTTTGATAGCTGGGAGCCAAGTTTTGTTGAGCTTCATACTTTTCTCTTTTTTGTTGAAACTGTGCTTGTGCTTGTGGATTTCAATGGCTTCCCTGTGCCATCTGACGTAATGATTGCTGGTGTTGTCCAGTATTTCAGTATTTTGAAATAGAATTTCATGTCCAGTTTGTCTCAGGGCATGTTCAGCTACTGCAGATTTTTCTGGTTGTTTTAGTCTGCAGTGTCTCTCATGTTCTTTGATTCTGGTGTGGATGCTTCGTTTTGTGGTTCCAATATATATCTGGCCACAACTGCAAGGTATCCGGTATACTCCTGCGGTGGTGAGGGGGTCCCTTCTGTCCTTTGCTGACTGTAACATTTGTTGTATTTTTGTGGTGGGCTTGAAGACTGTTTGTAGGTTGTGTTTTTTCAAAAGTTTCCCCATGCGGTCCATACATCAAAGGGGTCACAGACCGCAAAAGGTCAACGGACTCTACCCACCCACAAGGACAGGGGATCACTACACACAAAAGACCAGCTAATGACACCCATCAACCGCAGGAACAGATAATCTCTACCCCTAGCACAACAATACACCCACAACAATACACACTAATCATCCATCTACAGGAAAAGACAAAAGCCTATCTCACAGCATCAAAGGGGTCACAGACCGCAAAAGGTCAACGGACTCTACCCACCCACAAGGACAGGGGATCACTACACACAAAAGACCAGCTAATGACACCCATCAACCGCAGGAACAGATAATCTCTACCCCTAGCACAACAATACACCCACAACAATACACACTAATCATCCATCTACAGGAAAAGACAAAAGCCTATCTCACAGCCATAAATACTGCACTCCCAAGCCAACTACACCAGAGCACAGGCTGTTGTCCTCTGAAGATACCGGCCACAGAGACTGGCGAAACGTCAGGAAGAACAACCTTCAGAACATGGCCAAAGAGCCCAAAAAACCCAGAACAACCACATTAGGGCATTTTTTCAGGGGATTTTTTTTTCATTACAACAATCTACATTCACTCAAATACAGTCATGTCATCTTCTGGTTGCTGCACAATGGTGGATGGCGGGGTTTCACTTAACTGGGGCTTATTTGGGGGGTAGGGCTTATATTATGAGCATCCTGAAAAAATCATACTAGGGCTCATTTTCAGGTTAGGTCTTATCTTCAGGGAAACAGGGTAATAGTAATGCTAGCTACTAGGAGAATCAAGTAAATGGAAAACAATTCTGCTGAAATCATAACATCTTTACAACCCATACTGAATAATGTAAGCTGCACTTTTGATATTAAAGGGTTCTTATGTACTTTCTTTTGGTTGTTAATGGCAATCTACTATATTAGATTTATAGCACGAAGCAACGTGTGTTTTCATAAACTTATGCAATGAGACCTGCCCTTCCTCTTCTCCACCCTGCAACCCTTCCATGCCTCCAAGTGTTCATTAGTCCTCAGCCTACACAGCACATTTTGAGCACATTGTTCTGTCAATGTGTCTTGTTCCAGTCACCAACAGATTTCATCCATTCTTTGCAACACAACAAATTAACCTGATATCAAGGTTCCTTGTAAGCTGGGCGTGTGTGCACATGCCTCTGCTTCCCTCCGCACAGCTGTCCTCCCCCTCTGCACAGGGATAGCATCAGGTTACAGTCATGACAGAACCCTGCACGGTGGGGGAGGATTGCGTGCACATGCAGGAGCAAAGTCGCACATGCAAACCTAAATGTTAGAGGGTACGTTGCCCTTTGTATCAATTTGATACAAAATGGAATGTAATTTCTACAAATAAAAAAGAACTTTCTTGCTGGATTACAACCAAGACTCTAGCACCTTTCTCAAAGAACAGCTAAGCCAGTGGAAGAACACAAGTAGAATATGACAGTATTTGATGGTTTCCTGTTCATTGAGGTACTCAGTATTTAACAATATATTGCATATGAACATGGAGGATTCACTGGGCAACATCCAACAATGCACAGCTAAGAGGATTTGACAACACTGTCTGTACCATCTACACCTGTGGAAAACCAAGAATTTTACAGGAAAAATAATATGCTGGTCGCAACCTTAATCCAGAGTGTGCAAAACTGCCATAGGGCATGTAGGCTTAAAACTGAAATAGGGATTCATTTCTCACAGGAGTCTTTACAAAAGAACTTACAGGTCACTGCAGCACTCTAAGTTCTCTTGATAAAGGGATATAGACATCTCATATTTCACATGGTCAGCACTGAAGACTGGAATTTTTATTACTGTTATCGGTGCTTCAGTAAACTTTCCCAACAAGTTATAAATGAAATTAAGTACGTATCTAATTTACACTAGTATAAATGTAAGGAGAAAAGTTTGCCTCAGTGATTCAGTGATATTATTAAACATAGTGCACAAAACACATTGAGTAGAAATCTCTTCACAGGAGAACACAAGAAGTGGTCAGATCAGAGGTCCAGCTAGCCTAGCACTGTCAACACTAACTGGCAATGGCTGTCGAGGTTCAAGCACAATTCTTCTGCAGCCTAATCCTAGAGATGTGGAGGATTAGACTTGGGAACTTTTGCATGAAAAATGTGCACATTGTCTCTTAGCTAGTAATTTTCTATTACTCTTCAGCCAGAAAAGGCCCATATAGCTTATAAAAATTGTTAAGACAGCCCCTACTCTTAGACTTAAACCTAAAAGTTATGCTATAACAGGAAAAAGGAGAATCAAAGATGAAAAGGGGGGAACAAGGCAACCTCAATTATTAATTCCTGGTAGAGCAGAAGAAAGCCTCTACAGCTGCCCCTTCACTTTCTAATAGATCATGAGGCCATTATGCTGGCACAGAAGGCAAGGGTTCCAATAGTCCTTTGTTGATGACAAAGGCAATGTGTGCTTCCATTTTGTGCTACAGGCCCATAGCATGTGCTAGATGGAACCATGTACTGAAAACCATATGTATGTCTTTCTCTTGTTTTGTCAGACTGTACATGTTTAGTTTGGCACTATTAAATGGATTACAAACAGCCTAAACAGTTCTTAACATGTACATAAACCCTACTGTTTTTGAAGCTACATCATTAGAATTACTGGAAGTGCAGGAAGAAATCTGCAGTTGTAGGTAACATGAAGCTACTGACTTTAGTGCCTATGGCATGTATATACAGTACAGGTAAACATTCCAATGTAGTTGGCTAATCAGGTCTTCCTGATCCTTTTATGAAACAAGAACGCCTACACAAAAGGCTTTTGATGTAGCAGGATCTGCTCTGGAAAATCTAATGGTTACATATAACGCATCTGTTAGGCTCTACGATGTCACAAGACACCTTGGTTCGAAACACACCTCATGGTGTGGCCGAAACTAATTTCAGTCTCACCCGAAAAGTCCAGTCAAGCTGGCTGCGCAGAAAAAGGAAAAGCTTTTCTATACATGGCTGTGTCTCGATACCCGAGAACAGGGAAGCGCTGCGCTTGCAATGTGGACTGAACCTAAGGTCCGGGATGGGTTGGTGTCTCGCCTATAAAAGGTTAACCTTTTCAGTTAGACCCACAATACAGTAGTTTACACAGGGCACGCCTAGACCTCGAAGATGATTTTGGAGAGCACTACTCCCTTCCCCGTGTCTAGGTTTTAATCTTCACCTTCAGAAAAACGAACTTCTCTTCCAAATCCCATAGGGTCTACCAGTGACAACCAGCCCCAGAGAGAGCCTGAACCTCGACATGCCCCTCGAGCACCTGACTCTTCAGACTCACCATGCTGTTCCAACGGCCACCGCCGCCTTGCCTGTTCTCCCCACACCCAGCTCATAAATCCTCCACACTGGACCCGAGGAAAGCAGGAAGCCTGCGGGGGGCGGGGAGACACCAAGACCTCTCTCCCCAGCCAGCACCGGTTTCTACTGACCGGCTCACGCCTCCGAAGCCCGCAGAGGTCACGTCAAGACCCAGTGCAGGAAGGGCCCTACGATAGCTGTCCACACCGTTGCCTCAAAAGAATAAGAATGGCACCTCTCGGTCGAGCCTTGAAGCACGGCTGTTTTCCCGCTACGGAATATTGTAGCCGCTACATTTTAAATTGCTGCGGAGGACAGTTGGCTGCCCACCCCCCATTCATAAGTCCTTTATGAAGGATTTCTGGAACAGGCACCTCTAGGCAGCGCGTTGCCTCAAGAGTTCAGAGCGCGGGCGACTGCGAGGAGTGGCGTCACGTGACGCGGGAGGTCACGACAGCGTCGCCCTTCTCACGGTACACGAAAACAGAGTCGGGGGAAGCGGGGACGTCTCGGGCTTTAGGATTGTCTCAATGGGCGCATGCGTGTGCACGTTCTTCAGATGGGTTGGCTAGGTACGGGACGGAGGTTGGACACTAAAAACGGCAGTACGAAGGTTGAAAAGCTGAGAAAGAGAAAGAACAAGGCGGGAGCAGCTCGCATGAGGCGCCGGTGGCTTAACAACGCCTCAGCGCATGCGCTGTCCGCGTCGCTCACTAACGGCTTGCCCGTGCAGCTGGGCGCATGCGGACTAGAAGCCGCGCGCACACGCACTATTTTTGTTATTATTATAACCAACCGTCGTCTGGTGGCGAGCTGCATGAACCCGGAAGTTGTGGCTGGCGTGTCTCGTGCCACAGAAGAAGACGGGCGGCGGGGGTGGGCATGTATTTAGGGGCCAAGAATCTCGCGCGAGCTACCGAATCAGAAGGCGGGTGGTGTGGGGGGCGGGGCTATGCTGTTGGTATAAGAGGGCTCTGAGGAGAAGCGTTCTTTTCGGGAGGGGAAGTGCAGGTCTTTTTGCCGTTGTTAACGGTGGTGTGGGTTTGTTCCGTTCGTGTCGGCTCGTGTTGCGAAATCACATTTTTTTTCCCGACATCAAAAAGGAAATCCCAGAGCCCCTGGAATATTGAAGTCCGTTCTACAGTCATTCATTTGACAGTGCCATTTGGCGAATTCTTATTATTGAAAAGAATATGACGTGACGTTTCTGACCAGCATTAGTTTCCCACCTGTATATAGTACACATCCAGAGGGATCAGAATCAGAAGAGAAATGAAGACCGAGAGGAACGCAAATAAAGGCAATTTATAAGTAGCCGGCTTTCTACAGTCACATCTGTTTCAGCAGAATTATCACTGCTTAGTCTCCTCTTGAGTCTGTTTCAGCCTTCAGAGTGCCTTTGTTTTATTCAGGATAGGGTCGCCACCGCTCCATCGCCCAAACGGAGAACAGACATCAAAAAAGAAGCTACGCTTCACAATTTTGCATTTAATTGCCATTTACTAATTCAAACTAATCTGGAATGTGCACAATTAGACATTACTATCATTTGAGTGGCAATACACTATGTTACATGAGACACAACATTGATGTAAAAAGATGGGATATAACTGCTGTCAGCCAATGATAAAAGGCTGGTTACGATTTGCAAAGGTGAAAGTCCTTTCTAAGTTTAAAAGTGCTAGATATATTATTGGCTAATATTAGTGACAAGAATTAAGTTTTATTATAATAGTTAAGGAAAACTGTTATAAAGAAATATGGAGATGGTAGTTAACCTCAGCTAAGTTGAACTTAGTAAATTCTGACATTTCACCCCTATGTAAGGAGATGCAGGAAGGATCTCGGTACTTATTTCCACATGTGATGGAAACGTGAGAGGGTTCAGAAAGTTTGGGAAATTATATGCAAAGATGTTACAGGAATTATAGGTATAAATTTGTAAGTGTGTCTGACGGTTGTGTTGTTAAATAATGTTGGGAATATACAATTGGGTTGGGGGAGAGAATCATTGTTATGATAACTGCTGCAAGAGTAATTATTGCTAAAACTGGAAGACTAATTTTTATATGGAAGAATGGCATAAAGAATTGTGGACCTTAGTTGCCAATGATAAATTAATGTGCAAGTTGGAACTTAAAAAGCAATAGTAAAAGTTAACAGTTTAAAGGATATTTATTACATACTTATAGATCATGTTCTTGTGAAAGGGAAAGGCCAAACTCCAGCAAAAGATTCATTATTATTTTGGAGAGAAAAGGTGTAAGTTAATTAGAAAAGAAGGAAGAATCTTAAAAAAATTTATAATCATTGTAATCAGTAAATTAATATCCTGGAGCTGGTGGGGAGCACTGGATTTTTAAAACTTGATTTAATATAGCATAGCATAGGCATCCTTCAGTTTCGAGAGACTATGGTAACATGCTCTGAATTGAGGAGTGTCCTCTCCAGAGCATGAAGCCCGGGTAAGGTAATATGGAGGATAGGCTGTTACCCAAGCAGCAGATCCCCCCTCTCCACATTGCTGAAATGGTCCAATGGAAAGGCAAGAGCCAATACAACTGGTTCCAGCAATGTCGCAGGAGTTGGCAGAACGACACATGCTGCCTTCGGGACTCCAGCTCCGGATTTTGCCTCAAGGTTAACTCCTGAAGCCTTTTCCATGAGTGGATATAGCCACAAGGCAGTGGAGGTTTGAAATTGGAGTTTTCCTTCTCCTAGATGGGCTGCCTTCCATGGCTGACGAGCCCCACCTACCCGGCCTGCTCTTTAGTAGTGCAAAAGTATGATTTAATATATGCTTATTTCATTTGATGCATATTGTATTTACATAATAATATTTAAAAATAATTAAGAATGTTGGAGATTGACTGAAATTGTTTCATTTAAAAAAGGTATAAACTGCTTAGAGTAGTGTCCTGCACTAAGTCAGTGATATATAAATTTATGAAATAAATAAATAATCTGTGTCCTTTGTAGGAGATAATCTCAGTACAGTGGTGCCTCGCTTAGCGATTGCTTTGTTTAACGATGTATTTGCTTAGCGATGAGGTTTTAGGAGCGATCTTGCGCTCCATTTAGCGATGTTTCCATTGGGGGAATTTCACTAAGCGATGTTCGGGACCATGCCTCACATAGCGATGACAGTTTGGGTCCCCCTGTTTCACTTAGCGATGTCCGTTTTTGCTATTTTTAAAGTGTCTTAAAACGTTCAAAAACTGTTTAAAATGCTTGAAATCGTTAGTGCACCTTGTGAAACCTTTGCAAACTTAATTTGGCTTTGTTCTGAGTCTTCGTTAATTTTTGGTGAATTCCCCCCCCCATTGAAATGCATTGAACTGCAGGTTTGACAGCTGTCAAACGGGCACTTCAATGCATTCCAGTGGGGGGGGTTTCGCCAAAAATTAACGAAGACTCAGAGGCAGGGGTTTGTTGCGGGG